CAGCCGCAGCTTGTGCTAGTCGAGCGCCCCAGGAGGGTGCCGAAGGGGATCGCCCGCGCGCACAGGTTCCCAAACTGAGCTCCATGGAGCCCACGCTGGTGCTCTGCGGAGAGCGGTCTGGTGACAGATTCTGCCTCCTCCTGTGGCTAAAACCACCTGCAGGGGCTTCCCAGGGCTGCTTCCCTGCAGCCGCATTTCCCACAGCCACGTTCGACACTTGCGGCTGGTAGAGGGGAACGTTCCCACAAGGGGGCATGGGACAGCGGGTGCCCATGAGAGCCGGAGCCCCCCATTAGTGCATGGTGTGCAAAGGGCAGACTCTGGCGGTGCCCCTGAGAAGCAGCTCGGGAGGTGCTGGGGAGGGCAAAGAAAACTCGGGGTCCATTGTGTCTCCCAGATCCAGCTGCAGGGCCTGAAATGGGAATTGGCTACTAAGTGTGGGCAGCAAGTGGCCTCATGACGTGTGACCCACCCCCTTGTCTCTGCTGCCGGTGAGGGCGCTCAGTGGGCAGGAGAGAGCGAAAAGGGCAGCCCAGCTTCTGTTTGCCATAGGCAGGGTTCACACAACTTGTTCCCCATCCTCCAGGGCTCATTCCATCAGTAAACATGGCAAACAAGGGACCCTCCTACGGGATGAGCAGGGACGTGCAGTCCAAGATCGAGAAGAAGTATGACGATGAACTGGAAGAGCGCCTGGTGGAGTGGATCGTGGCCCAGTGCGGGGCTGGCGTGGGACGCCCTGAACGTGGCAGACTGGGGTTCCAGGTCTGGCTGAAGAATGGCGTAGTAAGTGCGGCTTTTCTCTAGGGCCAGGCCGGGGCCAGGCCATCTCCTGGATCCCTTTGTCCTGGGCCATTCAGTGTTGAGTCTGCCCTCTCCTTCGCTTGCAGGTGCTGAGCGAGCTGGTGAACAGCCTGTACCCAGAAGGCTCAAAGCCTGTGAAAATCCCCAAACCTCCTCCCACCATGGTCTTCAAACAGATGGAGCAGGTGGCCCAGTTCCTGAAGGCAGCTGAGGACTATGGTGTGGTGAAAACAGACATCTTCCAGACAGTCGACCTGTTCGAAGGTGCGGGTAGGGGGCTGGGCGCATCAGTTGGTCTTGCCCATGTGACAGGCAGAACCAGGCATGCATTACTATTTAATCATCTATATTATTGTAGCCCCAGTCCCCGAGCAGGGCCCCATGGCGCTAGGCGCTGTACACGTGCACAGAACAAAGAGCTGGTCCCTGTGCCTGGCGCTCACAAGCCGAGTATAAACCAAGCGACATGAGATGGAGACAGACAGGGATGGGGGCGTCCAAAGAAAGAGTGAGTTGAAGTGTGGTGAACTGGGCTTCCTCCCTGAGCCCATTCTTGGGGGTAGACCCCCCTCCCCCCCAGGAACTGGGAGTGTAAATGGGGTAGGCCCTGCTGCCTCTGCTGTGTACTTACTGCATAGGACTGACAAGCCCTTGCTGAGTGGTGGCTCCCATTCGAAGGTGCCAGCAGGTAACACGTTTGCCGCTTCGCAGGCGTGCTCTACCGCCTAGTCCCAAAGAACAAACACACGTGCTGCAGAAGCTGATGTAAGGACATGTCAGGGGGCGCCGCCGTGGGGCTGCGGTGAGAGCAGGTTCCTGGGGGCCAGGCGCACCCCAGCACTGCGCTGCACCTCTCTATGCCCCTCACTGAGCTTCGTGGGTGGAGGAAAGCGCGCCATGCAGGTGCTGAGTTACACGTCACATGCACACAGCGGTTTCTGGCAGTCACGTATGAAGCACCCTTCCTTCTGCAGGCAAGGACATGGCGGCTGTGCAGAGAACAGTCATGGCCTTGGGCAGCCTGGCGGTCACGAAGAACGATGGACATTACCGCGGGGACCCCTCCTGGTTTATGAAGTAAGCAGCAAAGCATCCCTCCCCCCAGCCCGGCCTCAGCATCTCCTGCCGCCGGGGGCAGGCCCTCGGGATCAGAGGTGTAGGGGGTGGGGTCAATGCTAGCCCCTCCAAATGGGTGCCATGCCTCCTGGCTGGTAGCACAGGGTCTCTTGCCTTTCCCCTGTGTTCCAGCCAGGGGCTGCGTGCAGAGCTGGTCAAACTGTCAGTTATCCAGAGCAGGAAACTTCAGTGGCTCTGTCCTTGATGAAACTTCCCACAGCCAAAAAATCTGTTTTGTCACAAAAAAGCACCACGAAGCCGGGAAGTTGTCAGGTTTTGAACATCCATTTTCCGTACAAAGTGTCAGGCCTTTCCCCCGCTCCCGCAAATGGAGTGGAAGCAGGGACCTTTCCGTGAACACGTGGATGAAAAGCCGGTTGTTTTGGCCAGCTCTAGTTTCAGGGAAGATCTCTGCACAAGCACAGAGGTGTGCAGAGCCCAGCGGGGCTGTGGGGTGGGGGGAGGAAGGACGCAACACCCCTCTCCCATCCCTGCTCTATCCCCTCCTGTCCATCAGCTGCGTCCCTTCGGGATGGGATGCTCAGGAGAGCAGGGGCCTGGAATGATTGTCTCTCCTTCTCCAGGAAATCCCAGGAGTACAAACGGGATTTCTCCGACAGCCAGCTGAAGGAAGGGAAGAATGTGATTGGCTTACAGATGGGCAGCAACAAGGGGGCCTCGCAGGCTGGCATGACAGGCTACGGGCGGCCCCGGCAGATCATCAGTTAGACAGCCGCGGAGAAGAGAAAACAACCCCCCCCACAGGAACTGGGTCTCTAGCTCCCTCCTGACCAGAGCCCAACTGCAGCCAATGTGAATAGAGCCAGCGGAGCGCCAAAGGCCGCCAATTGGACCGAACACAAATCCATTGGTATTAATAGAGTAACTTTTAAACAACCCCTAACCCCAGCCCACGAGACGATGCAGGGAGTGAGGTGGGGAGACTCCCCCCCCAAAGTATTTCTCTATAGGAGCAGCTTTATTTCAGCCACAAATATTGACCGCTTGCTCCATTTCCCAGTGTCGCCTTTCCTCTCAGACCTTTGCATGTTCTCTGCTTCACTCCCCATGACTTAATCGTATTGTGAGCTAGGTTTTTCTACTGTTTTATAGAAAAGGTTGTTACAAACATCCTACAATGTTACACCCGCCCCCAAGAAGGCTAAATGGGAAAGCACGTACCTGTAGCATACTTGGAATTACCCAGCCTTTCAATAAATCTCGCACAAGCAAAACCAAATGCTTTTGTAAAGATCCTTGCAAACAGGAAGGACGTCAACTTAGCCTCTGTTTTGTACTTTTTTTTGTCAAAATTAAAAGAATTATGACTCTATTGCAGTTTGCTGAGGGTTTTTTTATTTTAAATTCTGACTAGCTCCTCCTGGATTTTCAGTCTCAAGCACTCACAAAAACTCGAGACGAAAAGCAGCAAATGGTTTGAGTGAATGCTACAGAAAAGAGGGTAATGGCAAGTGGAATGTTTTTCTAACAGAGCTGCTTTATTTCAAACAGGAATTAATGCAGGGAAGTCCCACGGCCTGTGTGATACACGTCAGGCTAGATCAGGGGTTGGCAACCTTTCAGAAGTGGTGTGCCGAGTCTTCATTTATTCACTCTGATTTAAGGTTTCGCGTGCCAGTAATACATTTTAATGTTTTTAGAAGGGCTCTTTCTATAAGTCTATAATATATGACTAAACTATTGTTGTATGTAAAGTAAATAAGGTTTTTAAAATGTTTAAGAAGCTTCATTTAAAATTAAATTAAAATGCAGAGCCCCCCAGACCAGTGGCCAGGACCCGGGCAATGAGTGCCACTGAAAATCAGCTCACGTGCCGCCTTCGGCACACGTGCCATAGGTTGCCTACCCCTGGGCTAGATGATTACAGTGGTCCCTGCTGGCTTTAAAATCCATGACTCAATGAAAAGCCAAGTCCTCACCCTTGCTGGGCAAACAGACGAGACTGATTTTGCAGCCATGTGATTGTCCAGCAAAAGCAGGGGGCACTGATATCTTTAAAAGATACTTCAGACATTTAAAACATAGTTACCCCTCATTGTTCAAGCACTCAGAAACTGGAAACACAGAGCTTTAGGGGAATTTTGATTTTTCACCCCCTGGTTTGAATGAAGCAGCCTCGGCCAATGGCCCTTTTTGGCCTGAGTTGCTGATTTTTCTTTGTTTGGGTGATGAAGAAGCTTGGCTTGCTTACTCATCCCAATCCTTTATTCCCCAGCATCCTCTGGCATGGCTGCAGAGCCCTGGGCATGCCTAACGTGCTCAAACAGCCAGCGCAGGGAACACGAGGCTGACTTTTCATCACTCCTACAAAACCATGGCGTAGGTCAGTCAGCAGCAGTGGAAATGCACATAAAAAACCCCAACCCCCTCCCTCCATCAGATTACAGTTCTGAAGTTAGGCCAGCGTTCGGCACTGAAAATGCTTGGGGCTATGCTTGTCAGTTGCCGAAGGACAGCAGTTCCCCAGGGCTGTAGCAGACAGCCAGCTGTGGTAACTAGCCAGTTGTCTGCCAGCTGTTTTGTGTATGGTTCTAAATGGGAAATAGCCATGCCAATGGCAATGTTCTCTGCACGGTGAGCGATGAATGCCTCCTGACATGGCTCTGCCAGCCCCTTGGGGTGCACCGCCTGCCATCTGCTAACCGTCAGAAAGCTGAGGGAGCCACCCATGCAGGCTGGGTTTGAGCGCCAGAGGTCCTGAACACAGTCCCAGGGACGTCCCCTGGCTCTGCGGGTGCTCAGCACCCCTGAAAATCAGGCCCTGCCGCCCTGAGAAGACTAAGTCAGTCAAAACTATGCTCCCCACCACCCTCCCTGCTGGCGAGTGCCTGGTTATCTTGCTCTTCCGCTGGGGGGAGCGGTTGGAGCACTCAGAGCAGTTTAACGACAAGCCAACTGGCACACAGAGAGATTTCGGCTACCAGTCTGGTTTTTAAAGACTTTATTTTGGAAAGCTGCACAAAAAGGCCTTTGCTGTTTCAAAAATAAAACCCCAAATCTTTAGAAAAAGAAAAGCTCCCAATGTCTGTGATGGATTGTTGCAAAAACAATGAAAACCCCCAACCCCCATGTAATGTTTAAAATGCTCACATGGAAAACCCATGCAGGATTTAAAATCTGCTCCCTCAATGTCGCTGACAGGAGCACTGTGCTAAGCAGCAGAGCGGGCCATGGCTGGAGACACACGGTCACCGAAACACGCTCATCCAGCCATGCAATGTATTGCTGGAGTCGGGGTCCTGTCACTCTTGGAACACTCCAATGGCTTCCCCGCAAGCAGCTGGAGGGGCACAGACCCTTCTGCACCCCACCTTCCTCTGGGCCCTGTCCTGGGAATCTGACACAGACACGCTATAGCAACTAGACCAGGGGAAAGGCACCTGCTCTCTGCACTCGCTGGGCCGACCAGTTGTGTTTGCTGTGAGTGTCCTGCGCCAGGCCTCAATGTGCACACCAGGCCCAAGAAAAACCAGGCCCTTTACTTTCCTCTAGCCAGACAATGGCTAGTTTGTGAGAGGATGGGGTGAGCGTAGTGGCCGGAGGGAACAGCAGGGAGAAAAAGGTGCAGTTACAATGGTTGGAAATGGGCAAACAGATTTTTTCGTCAACGTTTGGTCTACCTGGCTAACATGAGCCAACTACTAAGCGAGCCGGAGGTGAAATGTGCGCAGTGCGCGGAGACCACAGCCGCCAGCAGGCAGAGCCCAGAAAACACGGATAGCCGGGTAAGGCAGCTGGCTGAGGAAGGGGGAATGAAGACTCCAGTCAGCCAAGCACAGGCCACTAGATTTCATGTTGGCTACCACAGTCAACCAAGTGGCTACACACTATGTAAAGGGCCTTCTTGCGATGCAGGACACCTTCACCCAGGATACCTTAATGGCCAGTTAGAGTCAAAGGGGCTCCTTCCAGGGAGAACCATTGCTTTAAGCAGCAGGCTTAAACACACCCCAGGTCCCCCTGCCTCTGTCCCAAGCAGAGACTTTTCCAGCAGAAGCTGCGATGCCTCAGGCAGGCGAGAGGGAGGACAGCATCTTTGGAACTTAAATGACGAACACTACAAGCCCAACTGTGGCTGTTGCTGGCTGAGCAGGGCCGTGGGGGTCGGTGTGAGAGCTTCCCCCGCCCCTGCCCCATGAAAACAGGAACAAAGCCTACGGGACATGATGCAAAGACAGACAGATGGCTGGCCAGTACACCCTGTGCTCACATGGCCCCTGCTGCCATCCAGCTAACCCAGCCACGTGCAGGGCTGGGGAAGTCACATCCGGTGCACGACACTTCTCCCGGGGCAGGTGACTGCATGAAGCCTCACTCTGCCCCCCCGCTAACAGTCCAAGGGCTCCCAGGAATTTCAGAGATTGCTCAGCACACTCCAGTGCAAGTCCATGGCTGCGCGGGGGGAGGAGCCCGTGCACCTACCTGACTCCTGCCAGTGCCCTAGGGATAGCTCAGTGCTTTGAGCATTGGCCTGCTAAACCCTAGCTCCCAGAGGCTCTGGAAAGGGACAGCACAGCTCTCGCCTTCCCAGGCTGCTGATCAGCTCCCCACGCCCTGACTCGCCCAGTGGTTTCTCAAGGCCCCCAACAGCTCAGGAGCATTGGCAGAGCCCGGGTGGCGACCCTCGGTTCGAGCTCTGGGAGGTGTGAAGTGCACTGGGTACCAAACCCACCCTGAGCGAGCTGCCCAAGCCAGCTGGCACAGCGCCCGTGCTGAGCACAAGAGACAGACGAGGCAGGCAGAGGGACAGCTCTGTGGCTGGACTCCCCTCTGGGGGAGGCATCTCAGAAAATCCAGCCCCGGACTCAGTGAAGTAACTATCCCTACAAGACCGAAGGGACTGTACAGACGTCAATCTGGGGGGGCAGCTAGATAGGGCAGCCTGGCAGTGCCACCCTTGTGTCCAATACAGCGTGTGGCCAGGCCATGATCCAGCTGGCTGAAGGGCTGGGCCCTTAGTCCCTGCAGGTCTGTAACGAAGGGGGTGACAGTCTCCTCCACTAATGCAGGGTGGGGCAGCCCCAGGGCTCCTGGGGAGGGGCCTGGGCAAAGTCTGGGGGCGCCTGCAGTACACGTAACCACTCCTGGGCGTAACCCCAGAACATGAGCCAGAGTCACCAGGTCCAGAACCCGGGCTCTCCCCGCTGCAGAATCACCCTGCATGAGTCACCCCTGGCATCCGAGTGCCGCAGCCGCAGGGTTTGGCTGCAGCTAATCCACAGTAAGGGCCTGTCCACTCTCCCAGGGCTGTCAGCCAGAGGTGCCCCACTGAAGGCAATGGAGATGCACTGGGGTCAAACTGCTGGGAGGAGTCAGGCTGGGGCTCTCCCTGGGAGAGAATTCCTGTGGGGCCTTTCCCCCAGGGCTGCACCCTGCCTGCAGAACGCACGACAGGGAGGGCCCCAGCCACAGGGTCTGGGGGCTACCCTCATGGAAACCTTCCGGCTTCCCTCTCCAACACCTGAGAGTGCCACTCCAAAACCAGCCCCAGGAGAGCGCCCCGACTCGCTGAGTGCCACCATGCTGCCCTAGCAGGTGAGCCCGGGCTCCTCCACCAGCAGCCAGGCCGGCCCTGGGCGGGCACCCCGGGAGATGAAAGGAAGCTCAGTTCAGCGGATGCCGGGTGCTCACGGGCAGGGAGCAGGAGCACAGGGCCTAGGGCTGAGGAAGGAGGGAAGCCGTGAGTTTCGCCCCTGGACAGACTCCGTTATAAAATGAGTTAAGGCTTGTTTTGTTTATAAATGGCAGGGAAAGGGGCCTTTGTGATGGGGAATGTCGAGAGCAAGACGCTGGTCCCTCCTCTCAGCCGTGGGCCTGTGTCATCCGAGCCAGATCCACCGCCAGCACCCCCCAAGTCAGCGGTGGCTCTGTGGGGGGGTTGGAACGTCTCCCCCACCCTGCACCCAGGGAAGGACAGTACCCAATATCAGCCAGCATCCCAAGCTCCCAGCGCCCGCTAGCATGTCTGCTGCTCCCTGTCTGCTGAGAGGAGGTCGGAGGCCAGGTCCCGGCCAAGATACCCTGAGCCCGAATGGATTGCTTCGTGAAAGCCTGCGGCTCGGCCATTGCTGTGAGGTTTGGGATCCTGGGGACTCCAGCTTCCCTCTTCCCCTAAGTTTTCTGGGGCTTCCGGGCTGGGCAGTGGCTGCTCCGACTCCATCTCCACGTCTTCTATGTCCTTCCCCGCATTGAGCGGGATGGACTCCATATCCAGCCCATTCTCCATGTTCTTCTGCCGCCCAGCCCTGGGGTACCACCTGCAGGCGGGGAAGCTGTTGCACGTCAGATTGAAGACCACATTATTTCTGGACAGGTAAACCTCCAGCATGTAGTAGATAGTCCAGAAGACAGCAAAGCATCCCAGCAACATGAGCATCTGGGGAGGGGGAGGGGAAAGGGGAAGGAGAAAACCCCATTAGAAACCAAAGCCTCCTATCGAAACCCAAGAGCTAGTCTCTTCTACCCTCTCCACCCCAGTGGAGGCTGTGTGCCAGGCTGGTAGCCATGCCAGCTGGCCTGAGAGGGGAGAGAGTCCAAGGATGGGCCTCAAACATGCCCACACCTACTTCAAGGCCTTGTGTTTGCTGCGGGAGGAGTGCAGATAGCTTTGTAACCTGCATGGGGCCAGCTGGCTCCCTTCTCTCAGGGGCGCCTGCTTTAGCCGATGAGCAGCCTGAGCTCAGTGGAGTGGCTGGGCCCCAGGACGGGACCTGGGGAAGACGCCTCGTCTCTCTGGACAGCAATCCCTCAAGCCAGCGAAGGAGCAGCAGGCGTGAGCTCACCAGGGAGTCGCGTTCCAAACTTGCCCAGGCGGGTGGGGGCTGCAAAGCGGGGCCCGTGTGAGTGTTAATGTCGGGGGGGAGAGAAACCTCAGACATGCAGGAAACCCCTCTCCCCGCTGCGTGGCGCTGGGAAGCAGAACTGGGCAGAGCTAGCCCTTTGGGAGGACGGTGAATGGACAGGGATCGTGGGCAGGGCGAAAGCAGCTGCTGTGTGGGATCTGCTCACTAGGCCCTGGGAGGAGGCGGATGCCCAAAGGGCCGGACCAGGGCAGCGTTCACAGTGACCGTCACAGTGCGGACAGTCCCTGGCCTGCCAGCCTGGCTTTGCACCCAGCCGCTGCTGGCCAGCCAGTTCAGCACCAACAAGCAGGGTCGATGGGAACGTTCAGTGCGTTTAGTCCTGCCCCACAGGCCTTTGCGCCGTCCCCACTTAGAACGCAGCATAGCGAGCGCCAGCCGCAGGGACCCTCCCTCTGGGGAGAGAGGAGTTCGGGCGCCAAGGTCTAGTCAGCCCTTGGCCTTCTGCCAAGGGTGTGTTCATGGCTCTTGCCGTGTGGGTCCGTGTACGGTGGGGACTGGGCTGAGACGTGCCCTGACCCCCAACTCATTCCAGCAACCAGCAGTCAAGTATTAAGTACTCTGGCTCGCTGCTGACTTGGACGGGACAGGAACTGGCGCCCCAGAGGACACGCTCCGGATCCCACCGCTGCCCCCTCGAGCCATCCAGCCCCCCAATCCACTCCCCAGAGCGAAGATGGGCCCCTGGTGTACTCCCTGCGCAGGCCCTGCAGGCTTTACCTTGAGGGTGTTGGCTGTGATGGTGTACGGCTCCTCCTCGGAGATCTCCAGCCCTGGAGGGCAAGGCAGGGACTCGCCACTGCTCAAGTACTGGCCACTCATGGCGTCCTCCAGCAGCCTGAAGCCAAGACACACATTCAATAAACTGCCGCAGACAGGCCCCCAGAGGCGAAGCAGCCGGGAAGAGGGCCGAGGAATGCAGCACTAGAGAAGGAACGGTCCCAGCAGACCGGCTCCCCTGGGCCTGCCTGGGGAGGGGCGGTCATTGTGGGGACAGCCCGGGCAGGGCAGGGGGTTTGTGGCTGAGGCTGAGAAGAGTTTTGATTGTATCCCCTTTGTTTCGGCTAGCGCAGGGAATGGCTGCGGGCTGCCGGCTCCAGCACTGCCATGTGCTGGCTGTAGCAGGCCCCGAGGAGCAGGACGGGATGGGGTGTCTCTCTCTCAGATCCCCTGCTCCTGTTTGCCCCATCTGGCCATGGGGCCAGTAACACATACACAACCAAGAGACAGGCAGGACTGAGGCGAGGAGAGAGGATGTATGGACACACCGGCTTTTACCAGCAAGCAGGAGACCATCCCGGAGGCCCTGACCTGTGGGTTAGGAAAGCCGGTTTCCTCTCCTCCTGGGGTCGAATTTTGCTCAGGTCTAAGCTCCTAGACACCAGCCCTGCAGGGAGGTGCTCTGCCCCCATCAGTGCGTTTGCTGGCTTCGATCTCCCAACCCTCAGGATTAAGCACAGGCCAAGGACGGGGGAGTGGCAGGTCCCAGGGACGATCTGTGTCCCCTTCGGCAGCCAGAATGCACCGGTTGGTAACGAGTCTGACAGGCGGCATGAGAGTTAAAGGAAAAGGTGCTTTGAATTGATCAAAATACGTGATTTGTCACCTATCCATCAGCCTAAAGCCCTCCACGCTGCCCCTGGCGGCCAGGCTGTCTGTGAGGGCCTTGTGCACCCCAGGACTTGCCGGGCAGAATCGGACCATAGGCTGGCTCCATTCAGCAGCCACAGAGTTCCCTTGCGCAGCCAGCCAAATCCCCCAGCAGATCATTCAAGGGGAACAGCTGCAGGCCCTAGCCCAGTGAGTCCTGACTCCATCTCCAGGCTGCTACAAACCCCACCACGAATCGGTCCCAGGTCCAACTGTACGTTTCTTTACGTTCAGCCCCCCAGGCCAGCCTCCGCGGTGCTGACAGACACTGCTGCCAGCCAAAGAGCAGCAGCTCGGATTTAGACCCGAATTTCCCTTCATCTCACAGGGCCCTGGGGCTCTCTCCCTGGGAGCTAGGCGACAGCAATCCTCATCGGAAATGCCAAGCGGCACGCGGAGTGGCTACGGATGGATTCCATGTGGCTCCCTCTGCCTCATTTGATGCTTCCTGGACCGTGGCCATTTGACCTGTTCAAAAATCTGTTCACGTACGAAAACCCGCTGCCCGGCCTCAGCCTGGCCTCAGGGCTCCTTTGTGAAAGGAGGCTCCCGTACCTTTGCCGTTCCCTCATCTCCGCCGGAGTCCAAGAAGAGCCGTAAAGCGTCAGCTGCCACTGCTTCAACGTCCCTGTCTTCAGTGTCTCATCCCCTGGAAAAGCAAACGGAGACTTTCCCACTGGGGTCCATGTGGCCCCTGCTGCTGCAGCGTACCAGAGAAAGCAGCATTCCTGCCTGCAGACCCAGCAATGGCGACCCTGCCTGCAGGATGGGGACGGGAACCCTTTGTGCCTCCTAGCCTGGGAAAGAATCAATGTTCTTGGCATTGTTCTGGAATCCTACGGGCCGAAGCATGTGGTGGGCACGTGGCCTCAGCAGCAGCTGGGTGGCACATAAACGACTGCTCTCCTCACGACTCACGGGAAGGCCCACAGCACAGTGCCCAGATAACGCACGGCTGTGCCCACATCAGACTGAAAAGTTCTATGTGTGCCAGGCTCTAGACCCAGCGGGGAGAGACCTTGGGGGCCAACCCAGCCATCCTGCTCTGGGGGCCTGGGCTCCGGTCGGACTCAGGCCCCCACTAGTCTCAGCCTAGCCCAAATTGAGCACAGGCCCCCCCCACAGTTAGCCGCCTCTGTCTGCACTGGAGAGGCCCCGGCCTGGACGAGCAGGAGGTGCTGCAGGGCCGGAATGAGCGGCACTGGCAGAGCTGACGGGGTGCACAGGGCTGGGACAGCAGGGAGGGTTGAGGATGAGGTTTGGGATTGAGGTGCATCAGCAGGCTGCAGAGGGCTGAATAGCAGGGGTGCTGTGTGGAAGGACAGAGGAGCGGGGGCAGAGCTGTAGAAGACCAGCTAATACAGCACCTGCCTGGATTACATCCAGCCCTGGGGCCTGCACTCCCCACCTGTCCTGCAGGACGGGAATGGGCCTTTCCCCCCAGGAACTCAGCAGCAGTCAATGGATTCACCCTGCAGGGCAGGAGGAGACTGGAGGCTCCGGGGCTGGGCGAGGACCCGACACACACAGGAGTCAGAAATGAAAGTCGACAACAGGCCGGTGGGCCCAGGACCATTAGTTTCCTAGAGAGGGAGGGACTCACCGACATCCCTGATAATGAGTCTGTACATGCCCTGGGCTTCCTCCCCCCAGCACCTCACCGTGGAGAAGGTCCAGTCAGCAAAGCCGTTGGGATCTCTGCAAGAGGGAGGAGAAAAATACCCCATGAGGAGCGAACAAGCCACTGGGCGCTTTGTGTCTGGGCGTCAGGTCTGCGAACAGATTCTGTCCCAACGAGATGGGCAGGAGATCAGGAGCTGGCGGCCAAGGCAGCAGGAGCTGGGTGTCCCTGGCCCCAGAGCAGAGCATATCGCGTGAGCCAACAGGCACAAGCCTGGAGATTAAAGAGCAGAGGTGACGGCGACAGCAATGCTTCTCTCCACAGGCCAGGGGCGGTCTGGGCGCTGCCATACGAGCTTCCCCACTCTACCCTGGATGGTGAGAGAGGGACATTGGCCTCGTCCCGGCTGAGCAGGGCCAGCCAGTGCTGCCTGTCTACGTGTGCTGCTTTCTGAGAGGCCAGCCCCGTTCACTGGGGACACAGAGCCCAGGGACAGCTCATACCGAGGGCGGCGCTGAGAACTGGCCAGGAACCCGGGAGCTGCAGCTAATTAACACCCTCCCCCCTCCCCGCATTGCCCTCGAGAGATGGACAGAAACGGCTCTGTCTGGATTCACCTGCAGCGGCCTCGCTGGGCTCTGGGGGGCATGGAGTGGAGCTCTCCATGGCCAGCGGGTCTGTGTTAATACAGGGCAGGAGTGGGCTAGGAGTCAGTTAGGGAGATCCTGGGAAATTCTCCTTCCCCTCCCATGGAGCAAAAGCAGCACATAGCGGGCTTCTAAATGCTGGGGCTGGACAGGGCAGTGGGCTCACATAGGGACAGAAGTGCCTGAGCTAATAAGGTGCTATCCTTTGTATTACGTGCGTGGCTTTCAACTACCCCCTTTCACTCCAACAACCCACCTGGAAACGTCCTTGCTGCACGTGGTCCACCCAGCCCCCTCTTTCACCTCCAGACCCCCAGACTTTATAGCACCTGGGAAGTCACCCATCACTGCCCCCCAAGCCCATCCCACCCCTTCCTGCGGCCCCCGCCGGCAGAGTTCTGCACTGCTTACGAGTCCAGGCTCCTGGTGGTCCCAATCCTGGACACCATGCCACTGGGGCAGAGGAGTTTGATTTCCAGGTTGCCACGGCGAGGGTGGGTTATGGTGACGGTCACTGCCACGTGCTCCAAGGTCCTCATGCCAGACAAGGCGAGGTCGGCCGCTGTGACTGGTAAGGAGTAAAGGCGTGCAGGTGTCAGCAGGCTGGTTAATAGGACACACACACACAATGAGCGCTCCCCACTCCCCCCAGAGCTCCCCGCGCTGCATGGGAACAACGGAGCGACACGTAGGCAGGACACGTGCTAGACACCTCTCACACGGACTCTCCGCCCACTGCCCACACATGCAGCAAGGCTGCTCTCGTTTCCAATTCCGGGCGCTCTGGCACCCAGCTCCGCAAGCAGCGTCTCAACTTCCCACGAACGGATCCGTTTTCATTGTTAACAGCCCCTTGCCACCCATGTCAGCCGCGGGAAAACAGCCAGGCCTGGAAAAGGGTTCTCTTGTACACCCAGCTCCGTGGCTTGCAGTCCCTCAGCGGCGACTATGCTGCCTTGCTTTTCACGCCTGGGTTGTGTGGCTTGGGCTGTGGGCGCTCCACTGGGAATTTCTCATGCAGCCTGAATACAGTGCTTGTCTTCCCACCAATGCAGGAAGTTTGTCCTAAACAGATACACAGGTGGTACCTGGTCAGAGCTTCCCTTCAGCGTTAGGAGTTTTTGCAAATGTGCTTTGTTCCCAAAGACACATCCTTCCTCTGCACAGTTCTGCAAAGCAGCATAACTGGATTTAGCAGGGTGACTCCCGCTGAACTCTAGCTATTAACAGCAAAGACAGGAATTTGAAGGATTGAGGATTTGAAGAAAGAAGCGGGATTGGGGTTTCGCGGTGTCAGATAACTGCTGAGGAAAGTAGTGGCAGCAAGTAATAGAAATGTTGTATAAAGCAGAATGGCTGCGTCTCTGATATCCCATAACATGTCACCTGCACCTGCAAAGCCCAGGAGGTGGGAAAGCCTTAGTCGGATCTATGTGCCTGTGCTGTGAAGTTAGTAGGGCTGCGTGTGCCACTGCGATGCTAATGCCACGACAAGAAGCTTTCCTTGCAGTCAGATGGGCTGAGAGCTTGCAGCCTAAGCTTGCAGTCAAAGCGAGCTCCCAGCCCTGGCTCATGCTGAATGCTCCAGCCCTGCCCCACAGGGATTCGAATGCCCCGGCCCTAGGTACACCGTGACACACGCTGCTCTTTGGAACAGATGGGCTGAGTTCAAGGTGACAGACAGGCCAGTTTACCACAAAAATTCCACGCCGTCCTGACTCAGGGACTGCGAATTCCAGAGCAGGAGAGGAGGGTGCTGATGTGGAGGTTCAGGGCTGCAACGAGAACCCTTCAACCTTCAGCAACTGCAATAATAATCCTTTGCCCCTCGCCGGTGCCTTTCGCCCGAGGATCTCCAAGCCCTTTGCAAACATCAGTGAACTATGCCTCACAACCTCCCTGAGAGCTAGAGGCATCTTTATTCCTGTTTAAAGCTTGGGAACCAGAAGCATTGGGAGGGTAAGTGACTTGCCTAAAGTGGCAAGGGAGTGAGCACCGAAGCTGAGAGTAGAACCCAGGAGTCCGGACTCCCAGTTAGGGTGACCAGATGTCCCGATTTTATAGGAACAGTCCAGATTTTTGGGTCTTTTTCTTATATAGGCTCATATTACCCCCACCCCCGTCCTGATTTTTCACATTTGCTGTCTGGTCACCCTACTCCCAGTCCACAGTTCCAACTAGGGTGACCTGACAGCAAGTGTGAAAAATCAGGACAGGAGGTGGGGGGTAATAGGCACCTATATAAGACAAACCCTAAATATTGGGACTGTCCCTATAAAATCGGGTCATCTGGTCACCCTAGTTCCAACCACTAATCAATACTGCCTCCCCAAAGGTGCTACCAACGAGAAACTGTACTCAGCTAGAGAGTCTGAGAGCAGCAGATTTCAAGCAGCGTTAAGGGTGGCTAACAGAGCCAAGCGAATAAGTGATTGTTCAGTTTGGGGGCCAAACCAAAAAAATCCAAACCCAATTCTGGTTCATTCTGAAGCAAAACTGAATGTTTCGCTTTTCTCACTGAACGGAAAACAACAACACTTCATTTTGCATCCAAAAACACCTCTGATGAAACGAAAACAAAACACCACCAAACCCTGAGAAGAAATGAATTGTTTTCAGGTTTTCATTGTGTTTCCTTTTCAGGTGTTTTTCATCCTTTTTCATTGTTTATTTTTAAATAAATATAGTTAAATTTCAAAACAAAACATCCCAATGTTTCATTTTGAAAAGGTGGAAATGAAGCAGTTTGACTTTTTCGAGAGAAAGAATCCATTTTTTTCCAGCCACAACTCGACCTGAATTGATGAATTATTTCAGTGCAAACCCTCCCCCGCAATGCATTTTTTGACAAATTTACTATTTGCCAAACAATGTGGCCAGCTCTAGCTTCAACAACCCTCCCAGCCGCCCAGCCAGGAAGCAGGCGGGCAGCGTCTGCCTCCTTAGCCCATTCCCAAGCTACAGGACCAGGGGGTGCATTAAGGACTCTCCTTGGCTGCTTTCACACATGGCCTTCCTTAGCAAGGAGTCACGCAGGCCTCTCAGGTGCGTGGTGACGAAGAGGCCAGTTCCAGTCTCCCTTCGTGCCTGCGCTGAAGGGTTAAGTCTCCGGGTGAGTCCCCAGGGCACCTGGGCGGAAAGCAGAGCAGCGTGCATTCCTGCGGACATACTTCCCCCACGTCTCTCTTTTCTGGCATTTCCCAACATCTTGTTTGCTGCTGCACTTTCAACTCAGAATTCCTTTTAGGGCAACGCTCTCAGAGCTGCCAGAGCTCCCTTGTTTTTCTCTCCTAGCCATGATCTTTTAGGCTCCTACAGACTGAGAACAAACCTGACTCCATTAACAAAAAACAACCCTGTCTCCTGTTTGCCGGGATCAGGGTTAGTGTCTCTCTTGTGGTTTTACAAGGTCTCTCTAGAGGCTGCCCCTGACACTCACGTTTCCCTGGACTGGGCAGCCAGGTCTCTGCACTTTACATCGGTGTGTGAATTCAGTGCTCAGAAAGGATGTGGGACGGACACGCTCCCGCCCTCCCATCCTCTCTCCCCCTCTGCAGAGCCGGCACAAAATTCACTAGGCAAGCTCCCGCCAAGGTGCCTCAGGCCTGGTCTGGAGAGACCCCCAAGGGCTGGGGGCGGAGTGGGAGTTGCGACGGAGACACCTGTCTACCGGGAAATGCACTGACGCTTCAAAGTCATTTCAGGGAGCCCTCCGAATAGCTGATCACGGCCAACCCAGGCTTTCATGCTGGGCTCTGTCGAACGGCGAGCGGCTGTGAAAGCCATCAGATGAGCTGCTCTGCCCACTGCCCCGCGACCTATCCTGTGCCAAGCGGTTAGCACCCAGGACTTGGAGCCTGGAGGCCTCTGGGGTTTAATCCTTGACGAGGAGGTCACCCTTTGTGTGACCATGGGGGAAATCATTCAGTCAGCTTGCACCTCGCCCGGGCCTGATACAGTGGGTTCAAAGCAGAGGGCTCCCTGCCCAGCAGAGGGTGCGAGTGGAAGCCAAAGGCAGCACCGGGATTCAAAGCTGTCTGGCAGGTCAGTCGCGCGGCACTGCCTGTAAGAGGGACTCCCCAGGTCCCTAATTCAGAGCGGGTGGGGAAGGTTCATTCACTGGCGACCGCGAGGTGCTTTGGGCCCCTCTGATGGCGGGCACTGGAAATGGATAAGGAGGGCTGCTCCTCTGTGCCCTGCCGCTCCCACCAGGCTCGTGAATGGGATGAATTCCCGGGACCAGTGGGTCAGTGAGCAAGCCAAGGGTTTAATCCCACGTTCGCCCCCCGCTGCAGAGTCTAGTCTGGGGAGCCGCGGTGAACGCCAGTCATTTCAGGGGGTGCAGAAGGAATTTCCCATCATTCATAGATTCATAGATTCATAGATTCTAGGACTGGAAGGGACCTCGAGAGGTCATCGAGTCCAGTCCCCTGCCCGCATGGCAGGACCAAATACTGTCTAGACCATCCCTGATAGACATTTATCTAACCTACTCTTAAATATCTCCAGAGATGGAGATTCCACAACCTCCCTAGGCAATTTATTCCAGTGTTTAACCACCCTGACAGTTAGGAACTTTTTCCTAATGTCCAACCTAGACCTCCCTTGCTGCAGTTTAAGCCCATTGCTTCTTGTTCTATCCTCAGAGGCTAAGGTGAACAAGTTTTCTCCCTCCTCCTTATGACACCCTTTTAGATACCTGAAAACTGCTATCATGTCCCCTCTCAGTCTTCTCTTTTCCAAACTAAACAAACCCAATTCTTTCAGCCTTGCTTCATAGGTCATGTTCTCAAGACCTTTAATCATTCTTGTTGCTCTTCTCTGGACCCTTTCCAATTTCTCCACATCTTTCTTGAAATGCGGTGCCCAGAACTGGACACAATACTCCAGCTGAGGCCTAACCAGAGCAGAGTAGAGCGGAAGAATGACTTCTCGTGTCTTGCTCACAACACACCTGTTAATACATCCCAGAATCACGTTTGCTTTTTTTGCAACAGCACGAGGACAAAACACAATGAAAGGGGAGGGCGGCTGGCGAGCAGGAAAGGAAGGCCAGACTAAAACACGCAAGCACATCTGGCCAGTGAGCCCATGGCGAGGGGGGCTCCTGGTATGGGAAGGAAAACAAGCCCCGCAACCACGGGCTGCACCACATCAGCTCAACTTTACTCCTGGGCCTCTCCTTCCCACTAGTAGCAGCTCCAGAGAAGGGCCTTGTTTATGTTGCCAGAGGCCAGCCAAGTCAGGAGCTGCAACATTACCTAAAATGGTCAAAGGCAACTGAACAGGTCTGGCCGCAGCCCAGCCCCTGCCGTGCTGGGCCCTGCCGTAAGAGCTCGCTAATGCCTGTCTGCCTTTCCAAAGACATCAATTTATTCAACTACTCGCGCGTGGGGGGAAGCAGCTCAACAAACAAAAGCAGCAGCAGCGGTCTCAAAAAGAAAAGAAAAAAAAATCAGGCTTCTCGGGACGCTTAACTCTTTCATAGTCTGTCTAAAATTCCTAGGCTTGTGCGAGGCCAATCTGTCCCTGCTGCCCCCTCATCCTGTCCCACTGGGGCCATCCCTATAGCCACAGCTGTTCCTCCTGCCCCAGACCCCCCCTCCTCAGCCTTAGCTGTCTCTCCCACCACACTGTTTCTGCTCCTGCTTGGCTGATGGCTGATCTCTGGCTGGGAGGGCATCTGGAGCTGCCGCACACAATCTGCCTTCAGCACAGTACACCGTAAGCATGCCCAAGGTGAAGCCGCTAAGGCTTCTGCTCTGGCATCATCTCCAGCCTCTCAGCACTGCATCCATGTCCCTGCACCCCTCCCACGGTGCAGCGCCCAGCCGGGGAGAACTCGGTCTGCTTTGGTTTCAACCCCACAGATGTTGCATGAGCAAACACCCAGAAGGAGATCCTGCCTCCCCCATTTCTCCAGGGTTCCCTTTTTCATCCTGCTCTCGTCTCCAATGGGATGGGCAAGAAGGAGCACCCTTCAGAAACAAACAGCAGAGCTGACAATGAGGGGATCCCGGATCCTCAGTGGCATGCCACCACCGCCAGCACAGAAGCACACGCTGGGACTGGCAGTTCCTAGATTGGCAGCTGCTGGCTAGGGCAGGGGCAGATCTGGCTGGAGTTCTCCGAGGGCCACGTTCTGGCCAGCGTGATGCAGGCACGTTTACCTGTGCCCTCGCTTCCTTTCTTCCCGGCTCGGCTCCCCCTGCCCTGGCCACATCCCCACAGAATTCTGTCCATTCTTACCCCCCTGGGACCCGAGATACTGGAAGTGGCTGGCTGCAGCCTGGGTTTGTCCCAAGCTCCCCTGAAAGCTCACCCTGATCAGTTCTTCCCTGGCCATGCCGGAGCCCTCGAGCGACGTGGGGCACTCTCATCCTGCCAGTGTGTATCGCTCCAGCCCCCGGGCACCCACACAGACCTTCCCTGGATGCTCGTCACGACGCTCCCCCTTAACAAGGCAGCTCCCAACACCAGCTATTTCACTGTGAGAAATGCCCTGCCAAGCTAACAGCCTTCCTGTCTTCCCCACGGCATCATCTCCAGCTCCTTTCCCAGTGCCGCTGAAAACCGATCCCTGCTGCTCCCTCAATTTCCCCGCCATGGGCCTTCGCCCCCGAATGCTCCGATTTCTTCATCAGACGATGTTCTCTCACCACAGCTTCTCCCTGCACCTTCCTACCCCCGGCTGCCCTCTGTTATACCCTAGGAGCCCTTTGCCCAGGCAGATGCTTTGGGCGGGTTACTAGGTGAAATCAGCGCTGGTGAAAGGCAGACTGACAGTCCTGGAGACACGGCGAGCCCTGCATGGGCAGTGGCAGCGCATGCCTCCCACGCACTGCCCCAGCCCTGGGCCCCAGCCCTGCCATGCTGCAGTGCACCCCCCTGGGGGGAGCTGGGTCTCTGGGGCCCGTTCTAAGCTCACACCGGCCAGCAGGCGAGAGCGACTTTTGGTTGCCATCACCCAGCTGTTGATTTGAGCTGGTGACCTGGAGGTCTACAAGGCCTTGTACTCCTCTCCTGTAGACGCAGGCTGCCTGAGACACAAGGATGGGGCCCCACAGAGGGGGTGTGCTGTGCTTACCATTCCAGGTGACTTCCAATGCCTGAGGGACCAGCGGGACGGTCCTGCCCTCCTTTAGAACAGGGCTGATGTACGACGCTAAGTATGGGACAGATTCCCAGATCTGTAGAAGGAGAGACGGGGGAAGAGTTAGCATCCTGCAGCATCCGAATCCTCCCCAGACCCTTGCTCTCCCCAGCCATTAACACATAAACCTTTAAGTACGAGTCTCTCCACCGCTGGGCTCATCAATAATGTATCGATTGCAGGCGGTCATGGACGTGGTGTTAATTCTTTAGAGACAGCTCCGTGAGTCATGACAGCACATTAGTGTGGGAACTTAAGTCTGGGGCCTGAGATTCAGAAGCCTTTCCCGGGGATGCTGGGAGACGCGGGGGGCGTTAGGAGGCTATCGAGGCATGTGACGCTAGACAAGCAGGCCTGGCTGAATGTACTGAAGAGCAGAGGGAACACTGGTTCATTTGTTAGAACAGGGGACTGGGAGTCAGGACTCCTGGGTCCATTTTCAGCTCAGCCACCAACACTCTGAGTGACCTGGGGCATGTCACTTGACTTCTTACGTCTCAGCCAGGGTGGCTGAGAAGAGGGGAACCAGCAGGAACGGCAGAGAAAAGTAGGTGCTTTGTCTGCGACAGTGTTTCCAGGGGCAAGGAAATTTGCTCTTGCTCAGTCACTGAAGCAGCCTGGCCATTAACAAAGGTCCTGGATTCCCAGGGCTCCGCTCGGGCAGCAGAACAAGATTCTTAGCACCTACCCAGGGACACAAACACCTCCCTGAGCGCTACAGGGACAGAGACAAGCCTGCGAATACGAACACGAGAAAACCTACTTTGGGGGAGGTGTGATTCTGGCAAACCAGAGACACCTGGTGCCCCCACTGGTGAGCTCTCTTGTCTTTGTACATGCTACTGTGCAGGTTATTGATGAGGAAACAGAGGTAAAGGGATTTGCCCAAGGTCTCACAGCGAGTTAGTGCCAGAGCAGGGACTAGAACCCGGCCCCTGCTCTAAGCACTCCCCTTCCACTGCAACCCACAAAACCAATCCAGGACTGCAGCACTTGGAGATCTGCAGTTGCCTTCAGAGAATGCCGGGTTCCCCTGCCATTTGGGGATGTCCTGCCATGTCACAAAGCTTGGTGCCCGAAGAGCAGGTGTGACAGTCTCCCCACGCTGAGCACTGCCAACAACCCCCCGCCCCCAGAGCCATGAATCAGACCCGACGGCTTCCATAAACAAGCCTCTTGCCTGTGGCTATATATAGAGCTCTGAAAGAGGGGCAGGTTTGCACTACTTGCCTAAGGACTCATGACTTCATCCCCAAAGCAGCCGTATAGTGAGGAGGTGCAGCGGGAATCCTTATAGTTTGACCCCCAAGTCAACGTATCACTTACCCTACAAGGAAGGCCAGAGTCTTGCCCTCTTTACGCAACTAATCTTTGGAGTCACTGTGAGAGGCAGATTTGGCTAAGGCTCAGCAGAGCAGGCGTTTAAAGTGCAGCCCTGCTCTGATCAGCATGTCTGTGTGCAAGGGGGTCTGTGTTTACTGGTCTCCATGATCCCTACTCAAATTTTTCTGCCAATGTTTCTTTTTCTATTATTTTATTGTCTTAAACCACCAGTGCTGTTGTCTCCCCCGGGATCTGACTGTCAAGCTGGGCACTTTTCTTCTCAGGCATCACAGATGCTGCGCTGGAACTGAGTGAATAATTCCGTTGCTGAAACACGAGTCAGACTAGAATCCATCTCCCTCTCCCTGGGCTGGGCTAGTTCTGCAGGGCCAATGGGAGCAAAATACATGGAAACTCATTCCACACACCGAAATCATGGAAACGTAGGACTGGGAGGGGACCTCGATAGGTCATCTAGTCCAGCCCTCTGCACTGAGGCAGGACTAAGTATTGTCTAGACCATTCCTGACAGGTGTTTGTCAAACCTGTTCCGAAAAGCCTCCAATGACAGAGATTCCACAATCTCCCCAGGGAATTTGTTCCAGTGTTTAACTATCCTGACAGTTAGGAAGTTTTTCCTTTGCTGCCGTTTAACCCCATTACATCTCCTGTCCTCAGTGGATGAGCACAATTTATCACCCTCCTCTTTATAACAACCTTTCACATACCTGAAGACAGTTATTTTGCCCCCCATCTCCATCATATCTTCTCCAGACTAAACAACCCCAATTTTTTTCAATTTATCCTCAGAGCTCATGTTTTCTAGATCATTAATCATTTTTGTTGCTCTTCTCTGGACTTTCTTCAATTTGTCCACATCTTGCCTGAGGTGTGGGGCTCAGAATAGGATACAGTCCTTCAGCTGAGGCCTAATCAATGCTGAGTAGAGCGGAAGAATTACTGCTCATGTCTTGCTTACAGCACTCCTGATAATACATCTGTGACAGGGCCTTCAGTGGCCGGGCAGCTTAGCGGCTAGATCGTTGGTTAGGGGCTGGAGGGGGGGACCTGCCCTCCTTTCCTTCAGGTCTTGGGTCAGAGTCCTGGGCCGCTCACACCCCTAGCCAGGGGAGATGGATCTTGCTCCCTATGTAAGTCCTTTAGTTTGGGGCATGGCCCTGCTAGTCCAGTTTCCCCACAGTTGGGGCTTGGCGGTCGATTCCCCTTGGCAGGGGAAGACTGACTTGCTTTCAGTGGCTGCGCTGGCAGGCAGGTTGCATCTGTGCCTTCAGGCAGAGACACAGAGCTCCTGCCTCTTCGCCAGTCAGCCCCTGGCTGAGGGGGGCTCCCTTCTTTTCTCCCCCTTCCAGGCCTGACATTGCTGCAGGTATAACGGGGCGGGGTGGGGCTAGCTGACCCCACAGCTGTTCTTTAACCCCTGCTGTGCCAGGCAGACGCCTCTCGGCTCCTTCACAACATCCCAGAATGATGTTTGCTTTTTCTGAAACAATATTACATTGTTGACTCATATTTCATTTGTGAGCCACTATAACCCCCAGATCCTGTCCCACAGTACTCCTTCCTAGGCAGTCATTTCCCATTTTGTGTTTGTGCAATTGAGTGTCCCTTCCTAAGAGCAGAACTTGCATTTCTCGTTATTGAATTTCATCCCATTTATTTCAGACCATTTCTCCAGTTTGCTAAGATCATTTTGAATTCTAATCCCTTCCTATAAGACACTTGCAACCCCTCCCAGCTTGGTATCGTCCACAAACTTTACAAGTGTACTCTCTATGCCATTATCCAAATCATTTAGGAAGATATTGAATAGAAACAGACCGAGGACAGATCCCTGCGGGACCCCACTCGATATGCCCTTTCAGCTTGACTGTGAACCACTGATAACGACTCTGGGTAGGGTTTTCCAGCCAGTTGCGCACCCACCATACAGTAGGTTTGTCTAGGCTATATTTCCCTTGTTTGTTTATGAGACGGTCATGCGAGACAGTATTAAAGGCCAAACCTGTCCATATCAAAATGGCCAGCTCTAATCCAGACTGTGCACAGGGAGCTGACCTGCTGAGGAATCAGGGACCACTTCTACACAGGCATTTTTCACCCCATTACTACAATTTATCAGTAAAAATACGTAGCTTTCATATAGGGTTTTCCATCCACAGACGGTACAAAATGGGACAGCAGGAGAAACTGAGGCACAGAGAGGGCAAGTGACTTGCCCAAGGTCAGTAGCAGAGCCAGAACTAGAACCCAGGTCTTCTGACTGCCAGTCCTGAGCCCTGTTGCACTGGACCACACCAGAGTGGCTACACAAGTCTCTGTTGAAACAACGAGGAGTCCGGTGGCACCTTAAAGACTAACAGATTTATTTGGGCATAAGCTTTCTTGGGTAAAAAGCCCACATCTTCAGATGCCTTTGTTAGAGTCTCTATCAGAGAAGCTTTGCTCTGCAGAGGGAAACACTTCATACACACCCTCAGCAAAGGACTTCATAGCTCCCCCCAACTGACAGGACCTTCCCGTCTTGAGAGCCCTGAGGTCTCCCGAGCTCGCTCAGAGGGGAAGGCCGGGGAGAGCGAGATGTGGCCTGTGATGAGGTTTGGGAGGTGGGAGTCGACGTCAGGCTGTCCTCAGGCTGAGGAGCGCTGGCCCAGGCCAATGGCTGTCTCTTGTAGCCCCTGCCCTTGTCTCTTGTACACAGGATGGCCTGGCCACAGCCCTGCCAGTGGGTAGCTCCCATAGTAACGGGCACTATGGAAACACCTAGGCCAGGCCACCAGGAGCCGGAGACAGGGAAGAAGCTGTTGCTAGGCGGATTTGTCCCTGCATGCAGTGTATGTCTGGGGGGGAGCCCGTGGGGTTGCCGGTCGGATGGGCCTGACGCCAGCAGGCCTGAGTTACCTTGGCAGCGTTGACAAGCCTCCAAGCGTTTAGCAAGCCGAAGCCGTGCTCATGGCTGTGGCTGAAGCCCGCCCGGTTAGTGTCCCAGTTGGTGCGACGATCTTCATACTGCAAAGGAACCAGAGGGAGCCACATCAGCTGGAGTGACTCAGCGGGGGGGGGGAGGGGCGGGGGGGGAATACACCTGCCTCTTGCAGGGCGAGCTAACATTCAGCTACGCAAAGACAAGGGTCGCAAGGACTGGGGGAACTGGGAAAGCACCCTCCTAGCCTCGCTGCACACAGACCTATGGGCCCTACCTTGCAAACGCAGACCTAAGCCACCCTCCAGAAACTGGGGGAACCTGGCTACATCTGCCTAACCAGCAGACTTCGCAGAAGAGACTTGTAACAGCAGCAAAGCCAACTCCGGCTCTGCCATGGGGCCTGATTAGAAAGGACAGCTCGCCCTCTGTTTAAACTGAATCCCAACCGAGCCAGGATTCCTCGCTCTTCAAAAGAAAAACAAACAGTGCAAAGGACAAAAATGCCTCTGCTCTGAAATATACCAGCTGGTCCCTTCCTCCCTCCCTGCCCAGATCGCAGCCCCTGGAAAGTCTAAAGGCCAGTTTCAAAGGAATAAATACAATCACTTAAATCAGCGCGAGTTGGGGCAGATCAGATCTGGGTCCTATTACTTACTGGGGTTTAGCGCTTTGGCAGCCGTTGTCTCCAACTGTGGAAAAAGTTACCCTGCGCCAAAGCAAGTTTTATCTCACTGTGTCACGTAAACTGCAGGGGACGCACACACCAAGTACAACAAAACCCTGCCTGCTGGCCAACCCCAGATGCCTCTTTCAGATTCACTATCTACTCCTTCCTTCTGCAGTCAAACTCCCCCTGAAGTCAGTGGGAGCTGTACCTGAATAAGAACCCAGCAAACAGTAACATTTACAAAAGGAGCTCTTCCCACTCTGTCTCCAAGACTCAGAATTCCTTTCAGAGTCGCAGCCGTGTTAGTCTGTATCCACAAAAAGAACAGGAGTACTTGTGGCACCTTAGAGACTAACAAATGCTCAAATAAATTTGTTAGTCTCTAAGGTGCCACAAGTACTCCTGTTCTTTTTTCAGAATTCCTTGACTGCATCAGACAAATCAGGCCTTTCTGCTTTCACACTGTGAAGCGCTTTAGGGGCCATTGCAAAAACTCCAGCGGGTGTATCATCTCGACTCCGCCAACCAAGCCCTACTCCACCCCGGCTCCTGCACTATCCACACGCAGGCTCATCCTGGATACCTCTGAAGATTTGCATCCTGGCAGATTCAGGAATGCATGGAACAAATACCCCATATATCATGCTGACAGCAGAGAATACCGTCTGCCTCAGGCACATTCCTGGTGAGAACAAGGGGCGAGGGGAAGAGCCATCCATCTCCTGGGGTCAAGGGAAAGGTGAGATTGATGGGGGTGAGCTCACTGTTCAAGCCCATCCAGACCCACCCAGCATGCACTGGATCCTTCGCCAAGAGGGGCCAAGGCGGAAAGCCGAGGGGCTGGAGGTTCTGTGCAGCTGGAACTAGGGGGCACATCTCCAAGGAGCTCTTTTCTCACCTTGGTGGCTGTGAAGACAATGATGTGCTGGACATCTCGCCAGGTGAGACACGGTCGCACTTGGAGCATCAAGGCAATCATGCCGGCTGCGAGGGGGGCAGCAGCTGAAGTCCCTGTGTGGCCCTCGGTGCATCCTGTGCCTTTCTCCAAATTCCAGTCTGTCGTCACCTTGAACAAAGAGCCAAAGAGACGTCTCTGGTCAGATGCAGCCTTCAGAGTGCTAGAGCTTTTAGGACGAGTGAGCCACCGTGCGCACCAGTCTGTGCGCGCAGGAGTCACCCATATATCCCTGGCTCGCTCCCCAGGTTACCACAGCGGCCGATGGAGGCTACACCTTGCTTGTAACACATCTAGTAACAAAACCCTGGGTACAGACTGGGCCCAGCAAATGCTCCTGACCGTTTGCCCAACACTCAAGCTGAACCTCACTTGGGGGTTTTTCAGATGATGTTTCGTCTTAACACCCCCCCAGTCCCAGCAAGGGAATTGGCCTAACCCTGCGAGAAGGCAGATTTCCAGCCCAGGGTTTCAAAGGAGCAGACAGAGGTTTGGGTGCCTACCTGAAAGTCTACCCACTGCTCTCACAGACAAGGGCTCCCAGGGCACTTCCTGGACAGGCCTGCAGCATTGTGGTCTCCTGACTGCTTTCGCCACAGCCAAGATGGCTCCTTGCCTCCCACGGGCAAGAGGAGATAAAAGGGACCATGAGGTGCAGCTGGAAATGGGGAGGAACGGCTCAGAGGCTGAGGGAACCAACTTCAACGCCACAGGGGCCTGGTCTGACAAGGAACCGTGTCACTGAGAAGCAGGGGGCGCAGCCTTTCCGAGGGCTGTTCTTCCACTGGGCCTGTCTACCCACTTATGGCACTTGTCTGGCTCCCATCACCACCATATGCAAACACCTCAGTCTTTAATGTATTTATCCTCCGAGCACCCCTGGGCAGCAGGGCCGGGCGACCACCCCCATGTAACAGCTGGGGTGCCGAGGGGCTAAGGGATTTGCCCAAGGTCATAGAATATCAGAGTTGGTATCAGGAGGTATCTAGTCCAACCCCCTGCTCAAAGCACAGGAAGACTGTGGCAAAGAAGGGAATGGAACCCAGAGCCCCCAAATCCTAGATTAGTGCCTGAATCGCTGGAACAGCCTTCCTCTCTATGGTCTGTCCGTCCACTACAGCCCCCCAAATAACCCCCCCACCCCCATGGCTGCTCGCGGGGAACTGGGTTGTCATTTGTTTGTCATAGTGCTCATAGACTGGGATTTTCAAAGGGGCCCAAATCCCACTGACTTTCAATGGGAATGGGACTCCTAACTCCCCAAGGACTCTGAGCAACCCAGCCATGTAGTGCACGGTGCTGTACACCCAGAAAGCAAGGCTGGAGCTTGCATTTAATAGATTCATAGATCCCAAGGCCAGAAGGTACCATTGTGATCATCTCGTCCGACCCCCAGTATATCACAGCCCTGAGATCTGCCTCACAAGAATGCCTAGAGATTGAAAAAACCCAACCCTGATTTAAAAACTGCCAGTGATGGAGAATCCATCACCACTCTTGGGAAATTGTTCCAGTGGTAATTACTCTCAATGTTATCAATTTATGCTTTATTTCCAGTCTGAACTGGTCTAGCTTCGACTTCCAGCCTCTGCTAGACTGAAGTGCCCATTATTCAGTATTTGTTCCCCACGTAGTTACTTATAGACTGTGCTCAAGTCACCCATTAACTCCTCCGGTTTGCACACTAAGGACTGCAAACTCGCATGCACCCTACAAGTCCTTCGACTGGGGCGAGACGTCTGCCCTAAAAAGGAAGGGATGAGCTAATAATGATCCCTGCTGATTAAATGCTACAGCGATTACCAAGCATGTTTCACGCTGCCAGTAGCATATTTCCCCCTGCCCTCTCAGGTAACCAGCCCAGCCATGCATTCCAGCCTAAATGCTCAGTTTCTTCCCCCCAGAGCGATCAGAAGCGTGAAACCGCCTGGAAAGCATGTGTGTGTGGAGCGGTTGTACAAAGGAACGTCAGAGTGGGAATCAGAGCATGAAACCCCGGCCAGGATGTAACATTGGCATACGTGCCACTAACCCAACCAGCTGGGCATCTCCTCGCAGGAGCCTCGCACAGTATCTGAACAATGCAGCAGCCCTCCTGCAGGAAGGGGGCTATTTAAAGGGAGACGGACACACACACACACACACCCCTACCTTATGGCTTTTGGCGATAGAATTAATGATGATGCTTTGCACTTGTACAGTGGTTGCTTGGGAATCTCCAAGCACTTCGCCAAGAGGGGGAAATTCTGCCCTTGTTTTAAGAGTGTGGAAAATGGTTCAGGGAGGTGACGGGACTTAGCTATGCTGCTAGAAGACAGGAGCCCTGACTCCTGTCCCCATGCGAAGACGGGTAATGACGAGAGTTAAAAAATGGCCAAAGGGCTCCATGGGCTCCCCTTCCCCTAACCAGGGCCAGCTCCAGGCACCAGCACAGCAAGCAGGTGCTTGGGGCGGCCAACGGAAAGGGGCGGCACGTCCGGGTCTTCGGCGTCGGGTCCCTCAGTCTCTCTCGGAGGGAAGGACCTGCCGCCGAATTGCCGCCGAAGAACGAAGCGGTGGCGGTAGAGTTCCCGCCGAAGTGCCGTCAATCGCGGCTTTTTTCCCCCCCTGCCGCTTGGGGTGGCAAAAATGCTGGAGCCGGCCCTGCCCCTAACACTCCCCTCACTGCAGCTTGTGTCTCCCTCCCCAGTGCACTTGGGCCAGAATTCTCAAGTGTGTCCAAGCACTGGGGGCCCCACCTGGGACAAGTGGGTGCCCAACTGAAACGCTTAGTGACTCAGACCTTCCAATGTCTGGCCTCAAGTTTCTCAGCTTGGGCACCCAAAGGAAGTGGCTACTTTTGCAAATGCAGTCCCCAGGGCTGTTTGGCTCACTATTAACTCCAGGCAGGCTGGGGTGTGATCCGTTCACCGCCCTGCCGTCTCCCCTGGAACGGCCACAGGAAGGCACCAGCGACCTCCTCTCCGGACGCCTGTGGAATTTGCAGCACACACGGGCTTTTTTGTTCTTTGTGGTTGCTGAGCCCACGCCAAGCTGCAGCCAGGCAGGCCAAGCTGCCGGAAGGTTTGTCATTCTCACTCGCAGCCAGAAATGGAACAACAACAAAGGGGCAGGATTTAGTAACGGGAAAGTCTGGAAACATTTCCCTGGGAGTTCACAGTCAAGCCACTGGATTAAGCAGAAAAGTAGCCACGGGCGGTCTGGACACGGCCACACTAGGTTGTTGTGCCGCACACAATGGCTCTGGGGGTGGGGAGACGGAAGGGGCGACTGGCTCAGGAAAGGTCTGACCAGGACAGAGGATGGCCGCTGTAGGGATTAACCTTCGAGAGACCCGCTGCCAATTAGACAAGAAAACTTTGACTAGTGGGACCAGGAGCCCTTTACAAAGGTCACTGACTTAACTCGGCCCTTGAGAAGCGAATGAATGGCCCAAAATGTCACAGAGGTTGTGAGCAACAGAGCTGGGAGTGGGACCCTGGCATCCTGGCTCAGGTCCAGGCCCTCTTTGCTTCGTTCCCCATGGGGCTAGGAGTCAGCGCTCCCGGGGGAAGGACTCGTGGCGTCTGAGGTAGAGCACTTATGGGGTTCAGATTAGTGAGTTTAGTGGAGGTTTCTGGCTGGGTGGCACTGGGCCTTACCAATGTGCAGAGTGTCACACCCATACCCGGATCTGCAGTGCCCAGCAGTGGCCAGGCAGGGGCTGAAGAGCTTCTGTATTTGTGATGAATCAATTCCAAGGCGGCAAGACTCCAGCGTAGCATATTCTGGGGAGACCACAGCACTGGTCTGGCACTTACCATAGCCAAGCTTCAGCCTTGTAATTCGATGCATAGCCTGGTGCGCATGCTCCGAAACACAGGCCCTGGCTGTTATTCGTGGGATTGCTTTCCACCCCATGCTGAGCTCCCTGGGGCTCTCCAGCCAGGGGAAGGCAGCTCTCACCTCTCTCTAAGTGGCCAAGGCAGGTGCTGAGCTGTAGTGACAGAGCCCTCGAGCAGATGGCTGATGGCACTTGCCCATGAAGGTACGTACAGCGCAGTACAGGACAGACGCAGGAGGACACCGTGCTCCTCCGATGACACCACAGGCAGCTTTGCCATGGGCGCCCGAAGCACCGTTGTTTCCACAGCTCTAGACTGAGGGCTGGGGTGTGAGGATTGCAGGGGACCAAGTGAAGAGCTACCCCAGTGCTAACTATGAACAGGAGAGTGCAGCATTACAGCTGCTGGCCCGGCTTATGGCAGGGATGGATTCACACTGGTGGCACAAGTTCTGCTCTGGTTTTATAGCTGCCCAGCACCAGATCGCTCCATTGCTCCAAGCCACCTTCCAGCTGTAAACCCTACTTGCTGCTGCATAAGCAACACCATATTCCCCCTCCTCTCTCTGCCCTGCTCCTGCGGCTCCTCCCCCTGCTGGGGCCCATGCCGAACACCCCTCGCTCCCCCAGTGAAGAGCTGCGAACGGTTTTGACTCAGCAGCTCCGTTCTCCAAACCCAGGAAGCGGAGTCTCCCCCTGGGTGCACCAGGACGGCTATTTCCCCCACCACCACCACCACCCCAGCTGCCGTATGGGATTTCCCAAGGCTCCGTTGCCCCGGTTGAGGAGGGCTGGCTTTTCATAAGCTTCCCAGCAGCTTACGCCAGCAGTACGAAAACCGGCTAAGCCCCCTTTGCCGCCCTTCTGCTTCCTGTGAGCGCCGCAAAGCCCAGGGCTGAGGCGCAGCAGCACTCGTGCCATTACCATGCGGTCACCACCCAGCCCTCCTGCACTGAGTCCTCACTTGAGACACAGGGAGCTTCACCCTGTTCTTCAGTGGCCAGGTTGGCTCAGCTTCTCGGCCACCATATCCTGCAGCCACAGAACTTAAAACTGGCAGGAGTTACCTCCCTCTCCTGGAGGCTGAGTGCACGCACCAGCCATCTCCTGCCCTACTCATGCCCGTCTCCTGGTAAGACTATCAGACATGGATTCCTGCCAGCTGAAGCAAGGGGGCTGTTCTAGCACGGCTCCAAGGAGGCCCTGCACAGAAGCTTGGATAGAGTTAATGCTGCCCCTGTTAAAATTAAACAGATGCTATTTCTTTTTAAAACACAAAGTAAGAGAC